TTGTGGCTTGTCGGTGATGGTGGCACTGCTGTCAAGTTCCTTTGTGCCAGTTCGGGTGTAACGGCGCAACACAATTGGTCGCAATCCCAATTGCTGGGGAGAAAACGGAATCAGGCGCTGACTTTGCGGTGTTGATGGTAGAGCTGTAGAGCAAGGCGTCTTCGGAATTTGCAGAGAAGTAGAAGGCGTGTGGTCGGCTTTTCTGCCTCCACGAAATGAGTATGTTGGTGTAGGATGCTGCTCGGCGGATGGCTGGGCTGGCGCAGGAGGCGGTCGAGGCAGAGGGCCTTGCGGGGTCGAAAGGCGAGGTGGCAATGGTTTCAACGATCTGCGCATAGGGGTAAGCTCCGTCTTTTGACTTTTTGGCAGAGTCAGCTGAGAATGGCCAGAGCTGGACATTGATTCCCTGTTCCTGGTCGCCATGCCCGATACGTCATCACTGACAGGTTCATTTGCCACTTTGCTGCCTGTATCCTCAGCACTTGGCATGACATGCTTGGCGAGTATGCGACCAGCCGATGAATGGCTCGACGACATCTCGGTATGCTTTGGTGGGCATGTTGAGGATGCCTCGGACGCATCGGACGCCCTTCGACAGGCGTTCATACTGGACTCTGTACCTTTCTCTCGCGATTTGTCGCACAGGCAAGCAGGATGTCCAGCCAGAGCTTGCGTGGAGGTTGCAAGAGGCTGGCCAAGTTTTGAGATGCAACACAGTAGCGTCGGCAAAGCGGGCTCAAGCTGTTCATGCCGGTGCTTTTTGAACATCTGCTTGGCGCTCTCTTACTCTTTTAGGATGATGCTGCTTGTCCGCTACTACTTCTCACCTGCCTGGGCGACGGATCCGATGGCTACCTTGGCATGCGACAAAGCGCTCGGCTCGCACACCTCAGTCCGAGCGAGCATAGTTCACTTCTGACGCCAAATTGTCATCAACGGTCTTCTTGATCGATCCCGTTCATAATTCTCTACATCACGAGCTCATTCACTTCCCATCTCTCACCTCACATCGTACGGCGGGGCGCTTTGAACACAGAGCACACTACAGTCTGCGCCAATCTCCGGAGAGGTACACCTGAACACGGCACGGGTGATTCTCGGGAAGTTCCAGCGATTGTGAGTTGTCGGACAAGTTGCTCAGCCCGACCCACCTTGGCACTCAAACCGCGCATCACGAAGACTATCTGATTTCCGGAGAGGCGTATATGATCGGCGTTGCTTTCCAAGGAGAAGGGGTCTATCGACCGGAACGACGCGAGTAGGAAGAGAAGAAAAAGAGTCACAGAAGTGCAAACCCTACCCCGACGCGGCTCCGCGGACCTTCATCCGTGACAACGATGCCACCCATGCCTGCTCGATCGTCATGCAGCGCGAACGCGGAGTCGCGGTCTGCGGTCAGACCATGTAGCGACACCAAGACTGAGAGTCAGAACACCGCCTCTCACATCGCGCGACTCCACTGTGACTCACGCTTTACGTGAGGCCGTGAGTGCTGAGGATACCCGCTGCTGAGCACTCATGACAACTCTATGCTGTGCATTCTGTGTCGCAGGTTTCGTCAACACGACACCTCACTTACAGTCACGTGGGAGTAGGCAGTCGAGATCGACTTGAGTCTTCATGACAACGCAAGGGAGTCCTCGGCGCCACTTGGCCGTGACTTGATTCAAGACAGCTGGTGCCTTGCATGCCTCAAGCAGCTGGTCATAAATGTTCGGTGCCGCGAGCAGTGACACGTCGTGAGTATGACACGCGTGTAATTGTTCATTTATGTTGGGATGCACTTACCAATCCAAGGCGGTACCTGCTCCATCGGTAATGCTTGAAGAGAATCGCAGTGTGCCGATGCGGCCGAGCTCCTTGTGTTCCTCGGCAAGACCCCTCGGTAAGACTTCGGAGCACTCGGAGCGTGGTGAGATACAAGTCCGTATAGCGTATAGTGCAAATGTATGACTCACGGGCATCCTCTCAATCAGACTGCGCCCGCGTGCCCTGGAACGTGAGATGCCACAGCAGGAAGATAGGGAGGGGTGTGATCCTCCTTAGCTGTGAACGCCCTTTCGCAGACAGCATGCGACCGCAGTTTGGCCACTGATTCAAATCTGCCAGATCAAGCGCATTCACGATGAAGCGAGGCTGATCATAAGACCTCAACCGAGGATTGCAACGTCTGGCAAAGAGGTCTACAACGACTGCTATGGCGCCTGTGAGGCCAATGACTATCAGCAGCGCCCATAGAGACACTCATCCTGCGTCTTCGTGCACTAAAATCCGGAGCAACGTGTCGAGCGAACCCACGGTACGCCTGCCCTGTCCTTGACCTGAATCCATGCAGATAGCTGTCGCCCCTGTCCGGTACATAGCGTGACGTTTTTGTTGCCAAAAACAAGGAAAGCCACCATTCGTAATGCCTGTGGAGACCGTGTGTTGAGAAGAAATGGCTGAACGCGCTACGCCCGTACTGGTTCGCCACCAGGTCTTGTCGTGCTGAAGCACCTTTTTGCCTGTGGAAGGAAGATAAGCGAGCATCGCGATGTGACAAGGCGAGGTGCGCTTGCTGACCTCGCTCTCTTCGAGCTCCGATGCTAGGTGGACAATACTGCACATGAACGTGGAATCACGAATGTACTTCACTCGAGTGCGCACTCTTCAAACCCGACCTAACTTTCAGGGATCATCACCCCAGGGCCATAAGTCTCCTTCACGTCTGTTGGAGACGCGGCAGGCGATGGAAGGGCTAGCAGGGCTCCTACTGCGGGCGAGCCAACCGTGCCTCCTAGCCGCGGTCATCTGACGCATTACGTACACTCTTAATGATCGCCCCGGCTATGCATCATGATTTCCAGTATGTGACGCTGATATACACAGGACAAACCCGGCAGCTACAAGGCTGTGACGCGACGCAGCGAGACGTGTCCTAGAGCCATGCAGAATGAACGCATCGCTCTTCGCTGTCCCATCAAGCATCGGCAGCATTGATCTTCTGCCTCAGCTCCGCCTCTGCAATTCCATCAAAAGCTGTCGGATCTGGGCCTCGCTCCTGAGCCAGTAGCTCATTAGCATTCACCTGCTCCAACAATTTTGCTTCTTCCAAACTTTGTCCCTGTTTGTAAAGCTTTTTCAGCTTTTTGATCCTCTGCTGTCTAGTCAACCTGACCGATTTTTCTGCCTCTGCTGGCTCCTCCTCGACATTGACCCCGTCTTCAATTTCCGCTTCTTTTGCTTCCTTGATCGCTTGCTGCAAAGACAATCTGCGCTCATTGAGCACAAATTTGATGCGCGCCATCGTCTTCCGCACCTGCAGCAAGAGGAGACGAGGGATCTATCAGCATGTCAAACCGGCCAAAAAGCCCGACGGCAGCTGTGCCACTATGCATTCGTATCCACTCACCGAGTGTTTCCTCTTTTCGATGTTGCAACCTGCTTGCTCTGCATTACGCGCAAGACCCACTCGTCTGATCTCGGCATTTGTAGTGGCCATCTTGTTGCACTCGAACAAGCAAGTGTACCAAAGCTGATGAAGCACCACGCTGCTCTTGGTTCGCAATTCCGGCACTTTCCAGCTCCTTCCCCACTGGTACGGTGTGCCGAAATCCGAATCTCTCACGCTAGCTGGAAGATCGGCGCCGTACGGTTGCTTCGTACCTTTGTTGACCCCCTTGGAGGGATGGAATGGATGAGATGAATAGATGGTGTTGGTGACTTTCTCGAAGAAACCCAAGAGTGGATGGCGTGGGTAGCGTACAGCCAGTTCAAACAGATCCTTGGGAGGCTCCGTGCGCGCTTCGGCCTGAGCTTGAGGCATGACCGGCGTGGGAATCGGTGCTTGAGAAGCTTTGCAGGATGTCGAAAAGGCTGGTGCCAGATTAAGTGCGTGGGAGACATGCTTGGTCGAAGCGCTTGCGGTGCGATTGCTGATCGAGCAAGACGCCATGCGCCGGGAGAGCAGAGGAACCGACATGTTGCTGCGGGTTCGGATTGTGGACCCTGCGCTCCTCGCAACAACGCGGAGTGCTTGGCAAGTACTGTGCTTGCGTCTCTTGACTCGAGAATCGTGAATGGCGGTCAGAAAGACGACGTCGCGTAGGTAGATGCGGATGGGATTCAGGTGAAATGAAGGAGGGCACACCCACGCAAAGGGCGGTCTGCTTCTTCCCCACGAGATCTTCTTTGCAAACGGGAACTCCGTCACGTGAAGCACGTGAATGACGGGGGGCTGACGCATGACGCACAGGTATGTACGCTTTTAGGCGTCCCACTCGCTTCCCTGCGCGTGCGTGTTTCGTGATATTCTTGATTCGTGATTGGGCTCCTTCTGACGACGGCAGCGATGTTACAAACGCGCGACTCTCGCCGAGATCGGGCTTCCAACTCGACAAATTTAGCTTTCCCTCGCACTCATTATTGATTCCCTTCAAGGACTTCAACTGTTCGACTCGCTTTTGTGCGCGCAGCCGCCAATTGAGCCACCTGCCACAAATCGCGTCAAGAGTCAGCTGGCCTACGCTTCCTGAGCTTCCACTCCCAATCCTACGCATCCATTGCTGCTCTTGTGGCTCAGCAGTCGAGACGCTCGCTAGCTCGCTTGTGAGGGCGAGTTTGCAAATCTTCGAGCCTTTGCGATCCGCACCCATCATGTTTGGAGGAACTCGCACGAATGGCTTGGCAGCTGCGCGTCAGCGCCAGGCGCAACAGTTGCCAGAGGATGCCTCGGTGGGCAGGTTCAATGCGGGATTTGCAGAGTCGCACGAGATTAGAGAAGTAGGTGGAGCCATGACAATTGCAGAGGTCAAGTACTCGCTGGAGAAGGAGACGACTGTAGATGAAGAGAGGCATGTTGGAGGATATAGCAAATCTGCGTGAGTTGTAGGCACGGATGTCGGGCTCGAGGCGATGAATGCAGGGGCTCGGAGAGACTGGTAAGACCGATATGAGCTGCTGATAAGACGCTACAAGGGCTGGACCGCAGAGTTCGAAAAGGGGCAGCAGTGTCTCTCAAGCTGACAAGCTGACGAGATCGTTTTGCCTGCATGCATACAGCGTGCTACAAAAGTGTATGGACTATGCCGAGGCATTCAGCAAGTTCAAGGATTTCTCTTCCATTAAGGCAGTGCGCGCGTGAGTCCGACATTCTGAAGGAGAGATGCCGAGATCATGTGCCCAATGGCGTCGGTGATAAGTGAAGTCTGACTGATGCAGACTGATTTGATTCTCATTCAGCGAATTGATCGAGCGTGACTATCCCAAGCCGCTCTATGACGACCAAGGAAAGCCGACTGCGTTCGAAGAGAATGAAAATAATGTTGGCACACTGTACTTGACGAGGTTCGAAATGGCTCAGCTTGTCAATCTTTCCATCGAGGATGTTGAGGAAGCAAAGACTTTGATCCCAACGTGAGTTGACGGTCGTCGTCTTGCAAGCTCCCAAATGGCCCTCTTTGAGCTTGAACATGCATGCTAACTCGTGCTGAGTCGACTGGCCTTCCGGGGCACATGCTGCCATATCGCCATACGCATGCCAACAGCTTGGCAGACAAGGACGATGCGCAGCTCGAGCAGGTCATCGCATCCCTCTCCACCCGCAGACGTTTTCAGAATTGAGGGTCAAAGCTTCAACGCGCAGCGCCTCCAAGTCGCTTGGCCGTGCGAGCTGGCACAAGACGCAGCGTCGCAGCCTACGCCGTCCAAATTCAAGACACTGAAGCTCAAAGACAGACATGTACTTGTAGCCTAGAACCAGTCATCAACCATCTCCTCAGCATGTTCTCATTCCGCCGTGTGCCATGCAGCTTGTCGAGGCATAGCACACATGCGATCGAAAGGCTCCCTCCCACCACCGGCTCTCATTTCCTCGACAAATACCGTAGCCTCGAGCGCTGTGTATCAAGGCTCTGCGAGCATCGACTTGAGCACCAGCGCTTCTCAGGCACCTCCTAGAGCAACACTCAACAACCATGACTCACCTTCGAAAATCCATTGAGCCAAGCTTTGAGCCGCGATCATTGGTCATTCGTGATTCGTGATTGTGATTGTCATTCAAATTCAAAATCTTGAATTGTAATTTTGAGTCACGAGTTCAAGATCCGAGGTTTGTGGTTTTCTCATTGTCGTGACACGTGACCAGTCCCGCCAGGGTCACAAACCGCTGCAGAAAAGCAGATTCACTCACTAATTCACGATTCAAATTGTTTGTGATTTAGGGTACAGCACGATGATGGGCACATTTAAGATTTCGTGATACCGACCTAACAGAATTTCGCGGCCCGTGTGCATCTCGACTCCTGACATTCTTCTCCACATCGAAGACTTGCCCGTCCCACATTCATCCCGCAAGGTTGTGCAAACATCCAATCCGCTTCTTCCAACTTCGACCAGTAATCTTCGAGTCGCAGCGCGATCATGCCGGCTGAGAAGCGCAAGAAGGGAGGAGTGAGGGCGGGAAAGGAGGAAGGGATGAACCATCTGAATTATGCGGGCAGCTCGACTGGCACGCTGATGATCCCTCAAAAGCGATGGTACAGACAACGGGCTCACGCGAATCCTTTCAGCGATCATGATCTGGTCTTGTGAGTATTATCGCCGATCATCAGAGCGCTTCAAAGCGCTTCAAGTGACGCTGCGAGATTTGAGCAGCAGGGCAAGGCACTTGTGGTCGAAATGAAATGCTGATCGCTCGTCATTTCCTTGTGTTCCGTTGCAGTCCCAGCTCACCCTCGGAAATGGATTGGAGCAAGCATTATCCTGCATTTGTTTTATCCAGCAGTGATGGCGACGCTTCTGCTGAAGTTGGTCAAGCCTCCGTCTCTACACGGACCAAGACTTTACCGGAGTTTTTGGATGTAGGGTGCGGGTTCGGAGGATTATTGTTTGATCTCGCACCCATCTTTCCTCACAAACTCATTCTCGGTGGGTGACCGGTGCTTCGCCAGAGTTCGCTTGACGAGGAAAAGCTCAAGCTGAAGCGTGCCCGGTCTTGGTTCGTGCTTAGGCCTAGAGATTCGGGCTCAGGTAGCTCAATATGTAGAGGATAAGGCCCACGCTCTGAGATTGGCTGCTCGATCTCATCGACGCGGAGAGCACGCCGCTGGTAACGACCCATCTCAGGTAGGCACAGGCAGCACTGCTTCGCCATCAGCGGAGGGAGCAGGCGTATCACCAAGTGCCGCTCCTGATAATACTAGCGACGCACAGTCAAGTACGTCTTCCCATCCCAACAAGCGCTCTCGCGGGGACCAAGCGCCGGTTGATGCGGATGGAGATGAAGAGGATGCGAAGGATGAGAAGGAACATAACGAGCTGCTTGTTGCGAGAGCTAGGACGGGCAACGTTGCAGGAGGCTACGAGAATGTGAGCGTCTTGCGCGCAAACGCCATGAAGTTTCTGCCCAACTTCTTTCGCAAGGGCCAGGTGAGTACAGCGTTTGAGTCTTGAAGCTGCCCAACTCTGCGCCTTAACGAGCTGATTGGGTTGCGTTGCTCGGAATACGCGCGTGGTCGGCTTGCTAGCTATCCAAAATGTTCTTCCTGCATCCCGATCCTCACTTCAAAAAGATCAAGCACAAAGCTCGAATCATCTCGTCCACCCTCTTGGCCGAATACGCATACGTTCTTCGACCTGGGGGCATACTCTACACCATCACGGACGTGCACGATCTGCACTTGTGGATGGTGGGGCACTTGGACGTGCATCCTTCTTTCGAGCCAATCCCGGACGCGCAATTGGAGGATGATCCTTGCGTAAAAGCTATTTGGACCGCCACAGAGGAAGGTGAATGGACAAGCCAAAATAGATCGGAGGCGGGCGTCAAGGTGGAGAGGCAGGCGCGGGATGAGGCTGGAGGATTCGGAATGACACAAGGCTTGGCGCTGATGCAAACGTTCGTCCCTTCATACACAGGCAAAAAGGTCATTCGAAACAAAGGCGATAAATGGTTCAAAGCGTACCGGCGGAAGCCTGACCCACCTCTTGATGAGGATGATGACGAGCACCCTTAAGATCGCGCGAAAAAAGCATGTATACCAATAGCAATAAGGATCAAAGTATTCATTTTGCATTGCATTACGCCAGTGTCGCAACGTCAGGCCGCAGGTCATGGTGTCTTCTCAAGAGCTGGCACGAGAATCCGCAGCCGCTTGCCTGGCCGCTTTGAAGCGCGAAACCTTCTTCGGTTGTTCTGCTCCTTGCGCATCTGTCGCTGAAGGTGTCGCAGCATCAGAATGGAGAGGGCTTGCAATGGCGGGCTGAGCACTCGATGCGATAATCTGTGGTGCCCGAGGCTTCGCGACTTGATCATCTTGTGCATCCCCCTTGGAGCTTGGCAAGTCAGAAGCTGCAGCGCGCTTGCTTCGAATGAGAGGCGGATCTTGGGCATTGCTCCTTGCTTTTCTCGTGCTGAAACCGCGCGCCGCTGTGCCGGGCAGTTTTCCTGATTCTCTCTGTTGCTGCGCCAAGTCTAGCCTAGCCCCCATCACAGCTGCCAAATCTTCAGCTTCTTCATCCTCTTCAGAGCCTCCTTCCAGGTCGACAGGTCCTCCTGCTCCCACTCTTCTGCTGCGCACAGCTGCTCTCGCATTCACCGATTCAAATGACGACGCATCTTCGTCTGCGGATCCATCAAGGAGGTCTCGAGCATTCTTTGGATATCGCACCGGGGCAATGCGCGGCAAGACCATCACTGGATTTTGGCCTGATCCGCTCATGTCCAGCGCTCCATCCGGCCCAACGTTCCTCGCATCGGAAAGCAAGTGCGCCAACTCGTGTCCTGCCTGATCCGCTTGAGCATCTGCCTCGTTCTCTCCCGCTATGCCACGCATGCTAAGTTCCCGACTGTGAGGCGCAACGCGATCGTTGGTGAATCCAGCGGCTCTTGCGTACCTTTCCGACTTGAACCTGGACATGCGTTTGCCGTCTGAGCCTTCGAGTTGGCCTTCTGTGGATCCGTGTCTGGCGCTGACAATGTCCCTTCCGTCATCGTAGGCATCGTCGCCCGCGTCGGTGTCGTCATCGCTAGCTGCGTCATTGCCTAAGGTCGGAGTGCCCCGCAGTACAGACGCACCAAGTCTAGCTTTGGTAGCACTGATGCGTGCACGGGCAAGCTCATACTCTCGGGCCAGCTCGGCCGACTCAAAGTCATCCAGCATGCTCTCCAATGTAGGCGCAAGCTCTTCAAGGTCGATCTCCGACGAATCCGAATCGATGTCTTCCTCATCAAAATCGGAGCCCAGATCCGAATTGCGCACCAGATCCTCGGAGCCGTCTTCGGAGGCGATATCTCGCTCGGATCCTCCTTCGTCCTCCCCCGCATCAATCTCAGAAAGCTGCTTTGGAGACGTGCTGGAGCCATCTGGCCGACCGCTTCGATCGGCAAACCGTATGGCGGGTCTTGCGAGCACGAATTGCTCCTTCGTGGTGGACGCCGCAGGCCGGATGCTCGGGTCTTCTCCAACAATTTGCGGCCTATCTGCGAATCTCACACGGCCTTCTCCGCCGTCTTCCGAGTCCTTGTATTCCTCTGTATCCTCCGGCCTCTTGAGGTCCCAGACCTCATCTTCCCCTCTCTTGCCACGGCCCTTGTGCTTCTCAGCTTCCCTCTCCATCTTTTCCTTGAACGCCTTGCTTGGTCTCGCGTGAGGCAGCAAATTCGCTTTGGAGAAGGTGCCATCTGCTAGTGATGACTTCTCTCGAGAGGCAAGCTCGTCTTCGTCGGCTTGCAGGGCACGGTCAAGGGCTGTCATGCCGAAAGACTGTTTAGGTGCTTGGGGGACATCGCCGAACTTCGAATCGCTATTTGTTTCAGTGGCGGCGATTTGCGAAGGTCCTGCTGGTGCTCCAACACGAGCCGCATCGCGCGATGAAGAAGGTGACGCAGAAAACGCTTTGCTAGGTCGATTCAAAAAGCCCTTGGCAAATGCAGATTCTTTTTTGATCGGTCCGTCGGAGCTCGCTACTGGTGTAGCAGTGGGCTTTGTTCGAGGCGCCCGCTCCATCACGGTCCGCTGAACTGGATTGACACGAGGCTTTGCAGGCTTTTTGGTTGCCTGTTCAGCCTCCTCCGAGATTCTGGCGGCGCTTGACGCCAAAGCGCCGTTGATGCCCCCTTGAGAGTCTTCCAAGTGCGCTTGCTCCAGCCTGTCCAAGTCGGCAGGTGCAGATGGGTGCCCTCTGACCACGCCAGGCCCGAGCAGCTCTACGATCCTCCTAGCCTCATCCTCCGCGCCTTTGAACTCCTTCTCATCCGTCATAGTCTTTCGGCTCTGAGCAGCTGTTGAGCGTTCTACCGAATCATCATCGTCGAATCTCATGCTCTTCACGAGCTCTGGAGACGTTTGACCTGGCGTGCGTTCGCGTGAATGTGAGGGAGTCTTGATTCTTACTGACTTCTTGGATGGCGTAACAGAGGCCCTGCCCCGGTCGACATTCTCGCTACGCTGCGATGGGGATGGGCTCTGCTCGACGCGCGCAGGGAGAGCAGGCTCGGAGCGTGACATTCGGTCGTCGTGTCTATCTCCGACATCGTCATCGTCTGAAGAGTGCGAGGCTGCAGAGATGCCAGGGGTCGGCCCTGTCAGAGCATCCTGGCCACAGGTTGGACTTGCCGTTGGACTTCCTGGATTCAGAGCCAAGAATTTAAAGCTATTCTTGGGTTTCGTTGATGTCTTTGCAGGGTCTGAACCTGAATCTGGGTTAGACAAAGGACTCGCCGTTGATGCACTCATGTAATCTGAGCTGCCCTTCGCGTCGTCAGCTGCAGGACTGCTTGGATTTAGGTTCAGCCATCCTCTTCTAAGTCCAGAGAGCGATCTCATCATAGTGGGGGCCTTGCCATCCGCGCTGGCACCAACGCTAGAACTTCGCTTGAGGGCGGACCTGATGGGTTTCGGTCTCTGAGACGATGGAGTCGGTGGACCTGTATTTGCTATCCGGTCCTCAACATTCCTGCTTTCCCCTTTGCTGTCTTCGCTAGATCCAGTAGATGAATTCAAAGGTCCTTGTGGTGCGTCACCAGCATTGCCTTTTTGTCGCTGCAACCCGCGGGGAAAGCTCTGGTGCGCTTCGTGCACAGGCTCCTTCTCCTCAGGTGGGTGTAGCGCTTCTTGTGCTTCCTCGGCTTCCAGCCGATCCAATATAGACGCAGCCCATCGTGATCGTGGTGTGCTGCCTGGCGCTGTCGTGGTAGTGAGCGGCCGGTAGGTGCTACGCACAGGCGCGTGATTCGAGGCAGCCTGCAAAGTCGACGTAGATTGCGACGGGGACAGGGTCGAGTCCTCTGGTCCAACCTGCTCCACCAGATCCACAAATGGCAAACCTTCCTCGTTCAGCACTCGACCTTGTTCGTCCGTCCCGTCCCTTGCAGAATCCGAGTCAGGATTGATGCCCAGGCGCTGCAAAAGCTCGGCGAGTCTAGTGGCTGAGGCGGAAGCTTGGCTTTGGCCAGAGGTCTCTTCTACGCCGCTCGCTATTGATAGGGCACGCTTCTCGTCGACTGACTCCGGTGGCGGAGCTTGCTGTGATTCGAAGCTTGCACTTGCGCCTTGATCCGTGCCCAGCACGAGTGCGTCCAGCTGCTCTCTTGCTCGCTTCAACGCCTCGACAAGGCTCGATCTTCTATTTTGCAGAAATTGCAGAGCCTGCGATGCTGCGATTGGTTCTTCTGCAGATTCTGCAGAAATCGCTGATCTTTTGATGCGTAGACGTGGACCAGCGCCGCCTTGCAAGACTGGGACATGCCTTTGCAGCGCTTTCGAGCCCAGTGGAGTCTTTTGCGAACGATGAGTATGAGTCAGCTGTGGTGATGCGAGGCGGACCGGCAGAGCAAGGCAGCACGGTTTCACTCACGAGTACACTGTTGCCGTGGCCGACCTTGTCCGCATCGATACCATTGCGTTGCAATTGAAGCTCTGCGAGCGCCTTTTGCACCCGCTCCACCTCGTTTAAATCGTTCTTGGTCCTTTTCAATTGAGATCTTAAAGAATTGATCTTCTCCTGCTTGAGCATCTCTGAAGCTGCAAGTTGCAGTGGCCCGCTGTGTGGAAGAGCACTTGCTGTACTCGTTGATGCTGCGGAGTGCGAAGACGAGCTGCTAGCCACGGCCCCACCATCGTAGGACGACATGTCGTGAGGGTGATGCGAGTGGTGGTGTGGTTGCGCTGCGCTGAAGCTTGCCACCGTCGGAGCGACGATGTACACTTGCAATGATGGACACTGGGATCGGTGACTTGACAAGGGCGTGCGTGAGACTTGAACTGTTGCAATCGAAGGGATGACCGTGAATCTCAAAGGTGCCAGCTACACGGCCGTGACTCCACATTCACATTTTGCAGCAAGGTCGTACGACCCTACACACACAGCAAGGCGGGCCCGCGTGTTAATAAAGTCAAGAGTCCAAAAAGTGGGGGGGGAAGGCATGTCACGTGTAAGGGAATACGATTCATAACCACGTGATCATTCTTGATTTGCAT